TTTCTTGTTTGTGTGGACCTGGTACCGGTACCGGTCCACGGACCAGGAGTTGGGCACCCCTGAGATAGACGATAGCTAGCTAGCTAGCTAGACAGACAGACAGACAGACAGACAGAGACAGAGAGAAAGAGGGAGAGTGTTATTTTTGGTAGGTCTTAATGGACTTTGCTGATTAAGGTTTTATTATTTGCTAATAGATAAAAGATGAGATATGGAATAAAGAATGACATGGAATTCTAGGTTGAAATGTTAAAGTGCTAATTTACTGAAATTACTTCTCTTCATGAAAGGGGAAGAATGTGTGTGTGTGTGTGTGTGTGCACGTGCGTGCGCACGTTTTACATTTTTTCACCTGGTGTCTTCAAACCTGTCCTTCCGAAGGTCTCTAATAGCTTAGTAGTAGTTATTAAGCAATTTATGAAACTTGTTACAAAGTGAGCCTTGTGAACCATGTCCTTTAAAAGTTCCTGGTGTGTTTGTGAGCAAAATGCTAATCCTGTTAGCTCCTGGTGCTCAAACCCATGAAAAGCTGTTGCCTTGCAGTCTCATCATAGAGAGCAGCCTCCAGAGCACACAGGAGCATCCTCCCATCCTCTCCTTATCCAGAGACATTCCAAGGAACTGCTCAACCCACCAGTTCCTTGGTCTTTGCTACTGTTATCGCTCTGCTTTTGCAAAGCTGTTTTCAAATGCCCTGCCTCTCCCAAAAGCCCAATATTGTTACAATTCTGTATATTTATTTTTACCTTTAGCTTTTCTTTATATTGAACATTAATATTCGTAGCAAATATGAAAACAAATAGTAGGGTGAAGTGTTTAAGATATTGACCTAGGGCTGGAGAGATCTAGGTTTAAGTCCATCCTCAGATTTAGAAATATGTCCTCAGATTTAGAAATATATTGGGAAACCTTTGACCAAACTTCTCCCTCAGCTGAATTTACCTCAGAGGTTTGCTGTTGTAGGATGAAAATAAAGAAAGATCCCCATGTAAGGTACTTTGAGTTCCAGGAGAATAAGCAGGATACCAATCTAAAGACAAATGTAAACATGAATTGGAATTCTTGAAAATAGGTTTTAGAAATATAGCAAGAGAAACAGAAATGAATTGGTGCTACTAGAGCGGAAGACAGAAATTTGAGTTTTGTGTGCAGTGTAACCTTACCACAAACATATTTCAAGTTACTCTGATGTGAACATGCATGTAGACTATAGACCGTGCACTATGCTGCTTCTATAGGAACTGAATAGCTAACGTATGCATTTTGTCATTCTGCATGTATGTCAACTTTTCATACCCCATTTATTGCACATTATAAAACTTTGGCTAGGTATAAAATTCCTCAAGGAAATTACTTTTCTTTCCCAAGAAATTAGTATACTTCAGATTTTGTCATAATAGTTGAGGAAGTTGAAAGTTGATGTCAAATACTTCTGGCACGAAGCCTGCAGTAGAAGCCAAATCTGATTGTGGAATCAGATCTGTTGTATCTCTGGGACCCAGGCACTTTTAACATGTGAAGGCAACTTATGTTGCACAGCATGACATTGTTCTCCTGTCTTCTATTGAAGTATGCTTTTAACCAGTAATGTTATTGCCCAAATGTATTTTTGTAATATTATTGCCAAAGTTGGCTTTTAAATCAGAGAATGATATAACTGAATACTGCAACATATAATGTTTGGTGTACATGAAGTCGGCAAAAAAGAATAAGAATGTTTCTGTTTTTATCTGTGAAATGTCATTCGTTGTAGATATAACCATTTATGTCAAAGAAACAAACTCTAATAACCACGTATCATGAGCTGTAAGATTTGTGTGGGAAGTGTAAGAGAAAAATAAGTGACAAATCACAGAAAGCAAGGAGTTAGTTCCATGATCACTAAAATGGTTGGAGTGTAGTTGAAGAATATAATTGGAGAATATATATAAGAATATATAATTCTTGATTGGAGTATTGTTTACTCGATTGCTGGTCTGATGTTAATCTTGGAGTTAATCTATGCTCATCTGCGTGCTGATTACTGGTGGGGAAGTGCTGGAGTCTTTTTCTCTTTTGGGCTGGTTGGTTGTCTCTTTTGCATAGTCTATAGATCAGTGGTAGCGAACCTATGGCACGGGTGCCAGAGGCGGCACTCAGAGCCCTCTCTGTGGGCACGCTCACCGTCGCCCCAGTCCTAGGCCTTCAGCTGGGTTTTATAAAACCTTTTCGCTTTAGGCCTCCACCGCCGTGTACAAAAAAAAAAGGTTCAATCAATCAGTCAATTTCAACTTCTCGTGGGGAAAAAAGATCTTGCAAAGTTGGAATTGACTGAACTTTTTAGTCCCACCCAGTCTGCGTTACCACCACAGCCACGCCCACCCAATGGGCCACACCTAATGGGCCATACCCACCCGGCACCCGACGATGCATAAGTGGGTTTTGGGTTGCAGTTTGGGCACTCGGTCCCTAAAAGGTTTGCCATCACTGCTATAGATATTAATGTCTATGTATCTATTGATGGCTGATTTGTCAGAGTGCCAGACTTCTAGAAATTCTCTGGCATTTTTGGGTTTGGCCTGGTCTAAGATTGTCACATTTTCCCAATGGAAACTATCTGTCTATATGTTGTGAAATCAAAGAATTTTTGTCATGTCTTTTGACTGCCAGTTGGTGTTCATGGATGCATTCTACCAATCTTTGGTCTGTTTTTCCTACATAGTGGTGGTTACAGTTCTTACATTGTATGTTGTAGATGATTCCTGTTTTTTCTTCTGGGATTGCTGGGTCTTTTGGTTTGCTTGGGATGTTTTGAAGGGCTTTAGTTGGCTTGTGTGTAGCCATTAGTAAACAGCCCAACCAAAGAATCCCTAAGACCGCACCCACCCAAACAGACAGGCAAGACACCAGAATATAAACTGATGGCAAACAGCACTCCTTACTAGCACTATAGTCAGGGTAATGAAACGTCTTCAAGAAAACAAGCAAGCTCAGAGAGCACTAAGGGCCCTTCAAAAAGTGGTCTGGGTAAAAGGCACTGATCAATGCCATTTTTGTACTCTGGTCAGCTGGAAGAGTGGTAATTGGTGCACCATTTTATTGGTACCGTATTTTAAGAATACCTAAGCAAGGAGAAGTAAAGACATCTGCAGAACAGCTTCAAACTGGTTTTGAAAAAGTCTAGAGTAGTTGCTATGTCTGCGTGANGCCCGTGCTGGGAATGGATTTTCCTATAGAATAATTTATAATCAAATATAGTATTAATGTATTTAATAATTAAAATATAATAATCTTCAAGCAATTTATTTGTTAAAAACATATTTTTATTGTGCAACGAGTCAGAAATATATACAGTATACATATATAATTATTCATTTTAGCAGTTGTCTATCCACTGGAGGATGAAGGCCTCTTCTGCAATTATAGTGGCAATCCAGGCTCACCTTGGTGGAAGGTTCTTACCAAGTGATGTGGATTGGCTGACACCATTTTGTAATATGCTCAATTTATTGCTAGAAGGGTCTTTCACTTATACACATACTTCTGGGCGATAGATGACCAACTTTATCATCCTTTTGTGAACCTATGCAAGATTATTCCACAATACTTTTCAGAATCTGCTAAATAATGCAAAATTGGCATGATACCAGATTGTATTTTATAGCACAAATAAATATTTTTAGGACATTCACTTGGAATAGTTTCTCAGTTGTTATCATATAATTGGAATGTGACAGCTATGTCTGGAATAGGGATTCTTTCTACTTCACAGGCAGTGTACAGTGGTGGTGTATTGGGGTTTGGGGTTTTTTTGGGGGTAATTCTAAAAAAGACCAAGCCTTTGTAGAACATGGTTTAATAAGTACATTTTTGACTTGGCTTGCACTGAATTCTGAAAATCGTTACTGCTGTAACTTTCAGCATCTGAATTTATGTTGTTGCAGCGAATGGATGAAAACATGCAAATAGCAAACAGACTCTGACAACAGTAGTTGAGAAAAAAGGCTTATAAAAATAAGGTTCGTACTTCAGACTGCTGGCTTCCCAAAAGCAAATTTTGTCTGCATACCCTGTGTTCTGATTTAACATGTAATACAATTACTATTGTTAAGTATAATTAGTTCCCTTAGCATTAATTGCACCTGCAATTAAATGAGCAATAACTCTGATTTCTATAGAAAAGTAGCATTCACATTAACCCAGTAGTGCAAAGACAAAGTTCCTTGATCCAAGTTATATTTACAAGTCACCATTGCATACAGAGAGTTTGCTGAGGTATTTAACACTTCTAAAAATATATAAAATGCAGTCTTCTCTTTGTTAGGGTAACAATATTTTTTTTTAGAAAAAATGATTAAAATAACTTTTTTTAAAAAAAAATGCAGTTTGCTATAATAAAGCATTTCTTTAACAAAAGATTGTGCAGTATCACCTGATTGAAACTATTTATTAATAATTTTGTGGGAAATAAAAAAAATCCTGTCTCTCTCATACATACACACACACACACACACACACAGTCGCTATCTAATAACCTACCTACCCTTTTGTTACATATATAAATAGGTAACATAGCTATTACAGCATAACTACTTTCTAATCAAGCAACTTCAAATGCCAAGAGTACTAAATAGTGCAAAAAAATAGTGCAGAACATTTCATTCCTGAGCCTCAAAAATAAAATAAGCTAAATTCAAACTAACACCGTTTCTTTTTCTTTTATGTTGGGGTTTGTCCTTTCATTATGACTCTGATATCAAGCCTTCTTATAAAAATCATTATTTCCGCAGGAAGCAAACAGATGCCACACGATTTGAAATCTTAGCTGAAATTAACTGAAGCACGTAAGCAAGCAGAATGGCTCAACACAGATCCTGAGTGAATTTTCTTCCCTTCAATGTTATCATGAATCTAAAGAAAATCTTTATAAACCAAGGCGTTACAACCATGTATGGTGTATATTTGTGCTTCAAATGTCCATATTACTTAAAATCAAAACATATTTTTTGCCAAAAAGATTTTCATTGTGAAGAATATGGAGGACTCCATAATCTGTTTGGAGAACTGTTTTGTTGACTTGAAGATATAGGGCTGAAGGGAGTTGTAGGAGTGACAGGAACTCCGGTATCTGTAAATAAGCAGAATGATGAGTATGTATCAAAAATGCGTTATGTAACTCTCTGTGAGATCTGGTTCAGAACAATTAAAAAGGTAAATATATAGAAAAGCCGTGTCATTACAGTCTATGGATGAACACCCACCAAACTTTACACTAAACTACAGATGTGGAAGGCCTGACCCAGAGCATGTTTAGTATCTGAACTGGAACAATTTAATGACTTTGGGCTAAAAATTATCCTCCACAAGGTGACCTTTGCACCCAAAGATCTGTTTGCAGCGAACAGCATTTATTAAGGACCAAAGGCTTATCTGGATTGGAAGATCCACAGCTTTTACCCTTCCCAAAGTGAAGCAAAAAGATAGAGCTAGCTGTTCGAATGTGGTATTGATATTATCTGTTTAGGCCTTCAGGTAACTAGAAGCAAGCAGTCGCTAAGAAAGTATGGCAAAGTGGGAGCCGTAGCTCTTGGTATACATGTATCTCTGTTGATATTTTGATATTATTCTCTCTTATTTCAGCATCCCACCAGAGATACATATGAGACCCACTGTCCTGAGCATCCACAAAGCCCTTAAAATGTGGGTCTGTTCCCAGGCCTCTGGCTGGAGTATTGGTAGAACCCCTGTTGCGTTTTCTGATTATATGGCTGCTTTTTAATCTGGAGCAGTATGTTTTGTTATTATAATAATAACTTAATAACAATATAACAAAATCAATTTAAATAACAACAATAATAAGGAGTACATCTCTTTTTGAACCCATTATATGCTTACCATCTTCACATGAAATCTCTATCATTTACAAGTAGAGGGGATTTAGGTCCCCATTTGGTTCTCATTTGTTTTTCTCTTTTCCTTATACCAATTTAATGTCACCATCAACTCGGGTTAGAGCTGTATATGATGATAATGCAGTTTCTTAAATTTAATTATCAGGTAAAGTACAATTATAGCATTTAGCTCCAACTTTAGATGCAATATTATTAATTACCATGATCCTTAAGCACAAAGTTTAATGAATATCATGCTTACGTGGTCTTTGAGGACTTGTCTTTGAGATGAAAGCTGGATGTATTTGCTGTTCATTCGGAGAGAAAAGAGTATAGTGCACTAAAAATACAATGGAACAAATATATAAGCTTGTTTCTATTTAAATTACTGCTAATTCTTTTTTTTAAAAAAAATCTGAAAGTAAATACTTCAAATTTCAGTGGATACTCTTACCTATGATCATAACAGCCATTCCAGCCAAAAGCGCAAATGCTGTAAAAAATATAACTTGATAGGAATCAAGAAAGTGTTGGAATAAACTTGTATTATCTGAATAAAAAAAAGAAAATGTTGATTTTAGTCTTTAATTTGTATTCTAGGTGCACTTTTTGCTTTATTACTTTTTCCCATACATTTTTATCTAATCTGATTTAATCCAATCCAATCCAATCTATGAATATTCAAACAATGTTCAGAATTTGCTAATGAAAACTCAGTGCTATGAAAAACAATTGAAACTTTATGAATTCTGAAATAGTGGACCAACATGTTGTAAAATCATTCTGCAATAATATTAAAATTACAAATGTTAGCAAGTGGGTGTAGCATAGTGGTTAAAGTGCTGGAGAGACTGGGGATCAGTTCACTTTCAGCCATGTTAGCTCACTGCCTGAGTTTGAATTAGTTACTCTTTCTTAATCTACATTGTCTCACTGGATTTTTGTTGTAGGAAAGACCTGGAGAAGAGAGTACAGCCTTGAGCCTCTTAGCACAAAGTGGAATATAACAAATAAATGAAACATATAACTTTGTAGATAAAATAATCCAATTCTAAAAAACAATCTCAGAATACATCAATATTTTAGAGGAATAGGAACTTACATTTCATTGACAGAGTTCTGTCAGACACATAGGTAATTGTCACTGGGATAGTGATAGATTGGTCCGTCATTGTGCTGGATATAGTAAGTACAGTATTTAAATTTGTTTTACTTGCAATTTCTGGGTCTGATAAACTCACAGTGTAGGTTACATAACTAGGTAAGCCATAGGATCTGTCTTTCTCAAAAACCACCACCACAGGTGAGCTGGATCTCACCTGTAAGATAAATATTTGATATCATTTACCAAAAGCATACTTTCCCCCTCAATTCATAAATGACACACTATTTCAAAGAACTGAATCAAATATCTCATTTAATTTCTGATTTATTTGCAAATTGCACAATTTGTCTCAAATATGATCATTTTAAATGGAGTTTTTCATTTTGGTTTCATGCCATTTTTTCCTTTAATAAAAGTTCGTTTTTAAATATTAATTGATCATTTACCTGGGATAGATAAACTGCAAGTGACAGTTAACTAATTACACATATAAAATTGAACTGTGTCTTTTATTTTCAAAGCTTTTAAACAGAACTAAGAGTAAATCTGTTAGATGGTCTAGAACAGGGCTTTTCAACCAGGGGTACGGGTACCACCTGTGATACATTGGCACCTGGCAGGTGGTACGCGACCATCCTAGAAAAGTGGTAGTGGGGAGGGGAATGAGCTGAACTGGTGGCAGCACCGCACAAGCCTGAGTGAGAGATGGCTGGAGCTGCAGGGCTGTCAGGGCTCAGCGGAAGCACCAGGATCAGTGCCACTTTCAAGCTGATCAGCGCTTCTTCAGGGCTGTCAGGGCTCAGCGGAAGCTCCAGGATCAGTGCCACTACTTTCAAGCTGATCGGCGCTTCTTCAGGGCTATCAGGGTTCAGTGGAAGCGCCAGGATCAGTGCCAGGCTCCAGCTGGAGCTCGGCACTGATCCTGGTGCTTCTGCTGAGCCCTGAAGAAGCACCAATCAGCTGGAAAGCAGCACTGATCCTGGTGCTTCTGCTGAGCCCAGAAGAAGCGCCGATCAGCTGGAATGTTGCAGCATCTCCAGGGTCTTGTGATTTACATTCAGATGCTTGGCAACTGATTCATATTTATGACGGTCACAGTGTCCCAGGGTCATGTG